AGGAATGCCCCCAGGTGGCATGTGCCTCCAGGTGGCATGTGCAGTGTCTACCTGGCCATTTCATTACCTCTGGACTAATGAGAGACTACATATTACACAAGTGAATTTTCTGGACACCCCTTACCATGTTATTGTGGATTTGATCATATGCACTGAAAGTCTACTATTTGGAGACATATGCTAAGTACTAGGGATTCAAAAATTTAAAATTACAGTCCCTGTCTTTAAGAAACTCATGGCTCAGTAGGGAGACAGTCAAATAAACAAGCAGTTACAATACCACATGACAGACAAGTGGTGTCCTAATGAGAAGTAAGAAATGCTTGAGGACTACTGGAGAGACCCAGGAGGGGACATCTGAACCAACTTCTCCTAAGAGGAACAGAAGGATGGGAGGACATTTCAGGCAGAGGGAGTAACTTGTGCACTGGCCTGCAGGCTCCTAGTTTGTTCTGGGCAAGGAAGAGTCAGAGCAGGAGAATGAGGTAAGAGACAAGACAAGGCTGAGTCACGAAGGGCCCCAAAACCATGCTAAAGAGTTTGAGCTTCATGAATGATTATTAACCTTTTCTGAGAGGTAGAGTACAGTGGAATTAAGGAATTAATGGTCCTTTTTACTGAAAAAAAAAAAAAAGAGTAAAACAACGACAAACACGTACGTAAACATTCAACTTAGAATTGTGTGTCTTCTCATACCCATTGTATATGGAACCCACGTTAAGAAATCTCAGCTAGAAGAGTTAGGAGGAAGATGTTAAGGTGAGCAAGGACACATCCAGCAACCAGTAGGACTTATAAAGACAAAAACTATAATGGGAACAATAGATTGGAAGAAGCACAACCTGCCAGTAAGGTAGATGGGACCACAGTAGGGGCCTGTTAGAACAGTTTAGACAAAACAGTGGTTTTGTTCAAACGCCTCCATCACCAAAACTTTTGTTAGGTGCTGAACAAGATGCAAAACCCACTTGTTGGACTCAGAGCCCCACCCAACCTCCAGCCTTAAACGCAGCTATTAGGAAGGGTGAAATAGGGTAAGAAGAGAAGCAGGGACCTACCAGTGGTTTCACCAGCTCCTTGGGACAGATTGTGTACACTCGCACCCCAGAATTTCTCCACTGAGAACACGTTCCTGGAGTGCCTTGTCTCCTTCTAATAACTGCAGTGACATTTCCATTGGAAAAGAAAGAATATCTGGGTAATAAGCCCCCCACCTCCCTGGTTCTTTTGTGTATTGGGGAGGGGGCCTGGGATCTGGAGAGAGAAGAGTGCATTAACTTCACAATGGAGCAGGGATTTAGGGATCTGCACTTAATCCCGACTCTTCCTGTGAGACCCTGGGAAGGGGTTTTGGAGCTGCTCTTCCTTCATCTTTTAAATAGGAGTAACAATAAAAACGCTAACCTGTTCTGGAAGGAGTAACGGGGTGGAGGGGGGGGGATTATAAAGCACTTTGTAAACACTGTATGAAGGTGATGCAGCCCTGAGGGGTGGATGAAACTGCAGAATTATAGCCAGCCTTGACTTGCTGGTGGACTTTGGAGTCCTCCCATCAGAAAAAGCCCTCCCAGAAACTCGGAGAAGCCAGGGAGTTCTGTATCCCTTTCTTACTGCCTTCTGCCACCATGTTGCCTGTGACAGTGGTGTTGTGAAAATCCGAGAGAGGAAGTAGGGCGAAATAGTGGGATGGAAGAGGGTTGAGCCAGCCTCACTCCGTCTTGGGAATAGCTGCCGATGGGTACCAAGGCTGGTAGATGTTTTAAAAATGTTTTGGTTTAATTGAATTTCACTGAAGCCAAGAGAGGGTATGGCACTTGCTGCTTCCCCCTCCCATAAAGACACTCAGAATGACTTAGTCTCCCCAAAGTCACATTGTGGTGGATGCTACGCCCGTCCATCCAATTCCACGCCTGCTGCTTTTTCTTTAGGATCATTCTTACACCTGAATAATGTGGAAATGATGAGCCCGGTTGGAATGTAAACCAGCCCGACATTCCCCTCAGACTCTCCAGTACTTGTTCCACAGAGGGATGCCTTGTTAGGTAGGCTAGGGTTTTTTCAAGAGGCGGGTTTGTCACCAGCTCTGTCGTTTCCTCTGGAATATAAGAGAGGGGGTAGCTACAGGTAACAGATTATTTTTAATTCTGCCTTGTTATTTGGAACCGTTTTCCCATATGTTGTTGTTGTTCAATTCCTTGCATGAATTTTCTCAAATATTTGTAACATATGTCATATCTATATGCAGATTTTAAATTATGGATGCCTTCATCCAATCATTTTCGAAGGGGGCAAAAAAAAACAAGTCTAATACTCTCAGGCAGGACCACAGTCTCCTGGGTATCAGATATCGTTCAGGTAGACACATCTGGTGAAATGCATCACATCAAATTAGTATCAAGGGTATTGAGACTCTGAGACTACAGGCAGACAATCCCCTTCTAATGTACTGCTTTTTAGATTGTTGGGGAAACTTGAATCCCAATTCTCCTGTGAAATGAGTGATACTAACATGCTTGTTCAAATGCTCAAAGTGAAGATCAAAGCGGCAGTGTCCAAATTGGCTTTGCAAACAAAGCAGACCCTTGCTTTCCCCCTGGGGATGCCGTGCTAATTTTATCAACTCTCCCTGGCTCTTCTGCTATTAAATAGCAATAAATAAATGTGGGTTGTTGTTTTTTTTCCCTGGGTTTTCCAGTGGCTTATTTGTCTGACAAATAAGCTCATATCCTTTTAAGTGTGAGGTTTTAGTCCAACTAATAGAATTAATCTATTTTTAATGAAAATGCAAGTGGCTTGCACTTGGAAATCTACCTACCCATCTCTTTCTCTCTGCACAAGGCCCCACCCCCAGCGTCTTCTCTGAACACATACATCCACCATGAATATTTCAATACGTCTCGGGCTTTCAGATCAATATAGGCAACTCTCAAGCCCTATTGATTTTCAGAGGTTTGAATGGCAAGGGTGATAAAATATTTCTTGACTTATGAAACCCGAGTTAAAGACACTCTGCCGGCCCTTCCACTTTGACCAGACGTCTTTGTTTCCATCTCTTTCCTTTTCACATATTCCTTCTGCTCCTTCTTTCTCCACCCCTCCCTGCCTCCTGCCCCATGCATACATAGCCTGATGGAGATTTATGACTAAGCGATAATAAGTCCTAGAGATGCAGGCACTAGTTCCCCACTGGGTCCACTTCAGGTCAGAGGGAGAAGAGGCTGAGGGAAGAGAGCAGCCCTGAGCACGATCCGGCCCCCATCCATCTCGCCTGCAGAGGCTCTGCCAGCTTTCCTCCTGTCGCTCTGATTCATTTATCAGCACGGCCGACTCCTCCTCCTGCACACCTCTGAAGATGTAATCCCAGAAGGCGACCCTAGCAACATACGAGGAATTCCCCACTGAGGCACAGGAGCTGAGCTGCTCCATATGGGTAGGAAATAAGCTAATTATACAGTCAGCCATGTCCAATGCCAAGATGTATGTTGTTATAAGTTTATCCAGCCTCCATATGAAGCAGCGAGCCTGGGATTCTTGAAGAAATTTCACCAAAGCTTTGGAGTCGTTCCACCGAGACATGCTCTTGGGTGTTTGGAGTCCTAGGTTCAGATTCTCCAGCTAGCCCCGGAGTCAAATCACTTTTCTTCTTGGGCCTCTATTTCCTCATTAGTGAAAGATAGATACCCGTGTAATTATTTAAGAAACCTTCATTGAGTTTGTTGCATGTGCCAGGGACAGGGGACAGAGAGCAAACAAAACTGGTCTGGACCTTGCTGTCATGAAGGTCATGGTCTAGCGAGGACTAGCCAGGAAGGTGAGAATGTTTCTCCCTCCTCTGAACTCCTGTACTGCCTGCCTCTCGATACTGCAGTACAGGCCGTATGCAAAGATGATGTTATAAAGTAGGCTGTGCGCTGCTTCTTGGTTCCGATGGTGCCTAGAACGTTGGCAATGTTTGCTCATTGGGTGTTAGATGATTGCGTTGGCTCTTTGTATTTCTTGTTCTGCCCGGTGTCCATTAGGATTGAGCAAGCAACCATATATGGTAGCCTCAGGGGAAACATATTCAATAGTCATGGATCCTTCCCTAACAATTTTTCATCCCAAGTCTTCGATTAGGAAAGGCATATGAAACGACTTACAGAAAGCAAGTTATACAAGGTCGCTGAACTGTAGCTGCCCCTGCAATAGAAACCTAAAGATGAACAAAGAGACCCCATTACCAAGCAACAGATAAGCAGAAGCCTTGAAGCACCACCACATGTTGAGTGGAAGGATGACAAGGTAAGCCAATGAGGGGACAATCTTTCTTATGATGGTAATGTGATGTGTGTCTGCACTTGAATCTTTTGACTGAAGCCAAGTTTGTTGTTACGTAGTAGAAATAGCCATGTGACCTTCAACTGATTTTTGCTTCATCTATATAGATCCAGGACTTAGTTAGAAAAGATCCTGCAGCCCAGCTGCAGTGGTGCACAGATAACATGGCCATCTGCATGGGAGGCCTGGGTTTCATTTGCAGGCCAACCTGATCATGATAGGTGCAGTTGTGCTCTCCTATAGTCCTGGTTAGTTGGGAGGCTGGTGCAGCATGGTGAGACGCTGTCTAAAACACCTCTTTCTGTCTCTCTCCCCTCCTTTCTCTTCTCAAAAAAGGGAAGAACAGAAAGAAAAAGAAGATGCGTAATGCTCCTTCCAGCACTGACGTTGCATGATTCCACGTGGCACGAGTTGTAATTTATATGAGCTCGAGAATAAGTCCCCTTCCGCCTCTCCCCACGTGCTTATAACACACAGTGCGGGCTTCCCTCTCTCCAGAAAAACCTTCTCTCGGATTCCAAGGCCCACTAAGTTGCCTCCCTCTGTGCTTCCTCCCACATTTACCCTTGCTGTAATGTTTTCTTAATTTGTCTCCTCCGGTGAGTGTGGAGTGCTCTGAGGGCAGAAACTGTGTTTTAGTCATTGTTGCATTTCTCACAACTTTTGAGCACATTGCTGGCACAGAACAGGTACAAATGAATGTTTAATTTGAATATAATGAGACTCCTCAAAGAAGAATCTGCTTATCATGTTGAACAACGAAATGAACCCAGGCATAGTTAATCTGAAAATGTGCAGGGCTGGGGAAGGGATGGGATGCTGCTGTTAGTTCTTCCTCGCTGTTGACTCTCAGCAAGCTTGGAAGAAAGGCACCAGAAGCCATCCATCTATCTGGATGTTACTAGAAGCACGGTGGCCGTGAACTACGGCCCTGCTATTAGCTTTGGAGACAAAGCTGCTTGCCCGCATGAGTATTACCTGAGTGGGGTTTTCAGGGAGTGGTGCACAGGGCGAGGAGACATGATGGAAGAGCTATGGACAGGAACTCGTTCAGGGGCTGGGAGGACTCTGGAGATACTTCTTTGCTCTGAAGCTTTCAAAGACCTTCCTGAAAAATAATCTGGGGACTCTCCACTGAGGACAGGAACTTGAACCACACCAGGGACCACTAAGCTGCCCTCCAGCTTTGGAAACAATCTAGGGCATACAGCAAGGCTGGAGGTGAATTTGGATTGGGGATGTGGAAACAGCGTGGACTGCATAGCTTCAGCTGTCCGTTCACCTGGGTTTTGCTGGTTTCCTTCACTTCTTGTCTCATTTGTACCTCCCCAACTCCTTTTGTAGGTAAATTACTATATTCCTCAGTATTCAGATCAAGAAATCAATTCTCAAAGTTTCAGTCTGATTTGTAACATTAGAGATCACAAAGACCCATGTTCCAAATCGTGTGTGGCTAAGAGATAGGATAAGTACATAATAAGTAGAGAACTTACATCGCCTCAACTATATTCACTGCGTATTTGGGGAGGATATTACATTATTAATATTAAGAAATGAATGCAAGTTTTACTTAATTATTTAAAGGTTAGAAGAACATCTGCAAAAGAAGTGTGTATTGCGGCAGGCTGCTAGGCCATGCGCCCAATTCCTCCAATGGTATTGGAGTTCTTCCATAAAAACGCTGAAACACAGGGTTGCATGGTTCTCGAAGTCTCACCATGTGCTGTCATGGAACTTCAGCTATTAAAGAAGTTGTGAAGAATGTCAAAGTGTTTTCAGGTGTTCATCCTGGACTGGTACTTCATTCTCTATTTCTGAGGAGGTGAGAGGGGGCAAATCACTTTATTGGTTAATTTTGCAAGAAATGTTTGTTCTCCAACTAATGGTTTGATTCCTCCGTTCAGTGTCTTGCCTCCCATTGCATCTGCTCTATACTCCAAACAAGACACCCTCTGGAGGATCAGTCTATCTGAAATATAAAACCAAATTGTGTGTTAATCTCTGAATACATCACATATAAACATTTGAGTCACTTTTTTTGTTTTTTGTTTTTTGTTTTTTAGTTTTTAGGGTAATTTTGTGGTCTGATTCAAAATGTAAGCCATGTCAAAGTTTGTGAAATTTACTTTGGAGAATCTTGGGAAGCATCTAAAAGGGAGGGATCGCTGTCCTCCTAAGCACCTGAAATTGAGTTCATTTGAGAGGTCCCTATGACTTCTGATCAGCACACTGTGATGTCCATGAAAAGAGAAAAAAAAAAAAAGTTTACAATGAATGGCAAATTAGACATGTCAAGGCAGGTGCTCTAGATGGGCTTGCCGGGTATAGATCGGCTTCTTGCAGGGGCCACTATATTTTATGAGGCTAGAGCTTGCTTTATTCAACTGTTAGTGAGATTACAGTTCTCCTAGCTGTTGGGGTAATCTCCCAACTGTTGGAGGTGATGTGAGGACATCTACTGTCAATTTCCCCAACAGAGCAGAATCCGTTTTATATCTCCCTTCTTTGCATCGAGCTGTTCACTAATGAGTAAGTCTTACTAGCCTATTGCTCCATACCCCAAACAGTGTTAAACATCAACTCTAAAAGGTAACCTACAACATATTAAAATGTTAGGGCTAAAAAGCACTTTAGACACCACATAGTCAGAGCCTCTTACTTTAATAGCAAAGAAACTGAGGCCCAGAGGGGTGAAATAACTTGCTTAAGCTCATGTAATTAGTAGTAAACTGAAATAGGACAGAGGTTTCTTGAGCTCTAGTTGAATGCTCTACCCATTGTTCCAAATATCATGCCATCTTTTTGAGACTCCTGTAGTGCAATAACAATAATAATAATAATAATAAAAGATTCTGGCCCATTTGGTCAGAAAATAAGGAGGTCTTGACTTATGGTACAAACTGAGAAGTTAAAAAATTATTTCTCATCAGGGCATTACTCAAAATTCAGTGATTAGCAAAATTCACTCTTCTCTCCCTCCCACCTCTATAAGGAGTATATTCCCTCACACCATTGCTGGGCTTAGCCATGTGACCTGTCTGGCCAATGAAATATGCACAGACATAGAAATAGCACATGTGAGTGGAGGTGTGCCGCTGTGCTTTGGGTTCCTGTGCTCCGTCTCTTCACCATGAGAAGAGTACACTCTAGTTTCCTCTCTCATTTATCCTGAAGTAAAAGCCAAAATTAAAAGACAAACAATCCTGAATTAAGCCTGGAGCCATGCTGCCAAAGAGCTGACCTACAGATCCAAGGGCACAGATAGAGGGCTGCTGTCGAAAACCGTAGAGATTTGGGGAATTATTTCTTATACAGCATTATCACAGAGAATATATTCAAGTAGAACTGGCCTTCGATATTATTATCTTGCCCTCGCTTTTCACAGTGCAGTGCATGAGTTTAGATAGTCACTTCATTTTTTCAATAAAAAAATTGCATCCCAGTGAAATTAAATGCTCTTATAAGGTCATACTGGGAAACACAAAGGCACAGCCTAAGTTAAAATCCTTCCTGACTTTCAGAACTCAGTTTCCTCTGGTATTTACGTATGAGAATCTCATTACCTTTGAGACAGTGGTAAAAAAGCAACCCAAGGCAATTTGGTTTTGCTTATCTAGTCTCTATTAATCATCTACTCATTTTCTACCGACCTATTATCTGTCTATCAATCTCTCATCTATTTATTTCTATTTCTCTATCTCTATCTATCTATCTATCTTTCTATATTTAATCTATCCATTCTTTCAACTATTCACCCAACGGTGTATTTGTTTGAACTAGAAAAGATCGTCTGAAAGTCCCATTGTGTTTACTGTTATGGGGTTGACATTTTAGTGACTAAAAAATTCATCTGAGTTGATAATGTTTAGGTTGGTCTGTCTGCATCTGATTATGCTTGTTTCCAGATCCAAGCAGTTGTTAATGAAACAGTTGCTGTTTTGTCGACAGAACATTAATTACTTGATCTTAGGACTCAGTAATTGCACAAGCCCCCTCTGTATACATTACTAATTACATTAGCAATTATATGGCATTTTAAAGACAAAGAAATGACTGAAGCAATTGCGGTGTCACAGGTAACCTGCTGTTAAATTTCAATCACATTCCTAATGTTTCCATGATGTGCTGAAAGTAGTTATAGCAGATCTTGCGATGCTGACTTGAAGAAATGGCCTCAGACTTCCTACCTGTGAAATCACAGCCCAGGGTTTAACCTAACATCTAGACAGAGACAATGTGGGTAAAGTCTCCTTACCTCTCCAAGCTTCATTTCTTTCCTATTAAAAAAAAAAAAAAAGGCTGATAAAGATTGGACAAGAAAAATGAATTAATTTATTCAACAAATATTTATTGAATACCACCACTTCAGATGTGAGGGATATAAACCTAATCCATGACTTCTTTTTAGGTTGTTTTTCCTACAGGGCATGTGAAAAACAGGATGGGGGAAGGTGAGAAATTAGGGAGTATACACAACACCACAACCCCTTCTTCTCCATTCTCCTCTTGGGATTTTGGGCATACACACACATACACACACACAAACACACACACACACACACACATACATACACCTGGTGTGATTTTTCAAGCCACCAGGTCCAGGACTCAAACTGCGAAGTTTTCCGTGTGAGATCCAGCTGCCTTAATCTCCATGCCTCCTGCTGGCCCTAGTCCATGACTTCTTGAAGTGTATACTCTTTTGGATAAAATAGACGTTAGCAATAAGAAATCGAATCAATGTTTACAATAGTCAGAATAATGCCTATTAGCTGCTGTAACACACAACCCCATAAGTCTCACAGACTTACTACAATAAAATTGTATCTTGCCCATAACCTGAATACATCTTTCCAAGTGGTCACTTGAGGATCCAGGCCCTTCCATGGTGTTGCCACATCATTCTAAACTCTTTAGTTCCCACTTAGGTGGACAGAAGAGCCCGTACAAGATATTATGGGAGATTTTACGAACCAGGGTTGAAAGAGCATACATCATTTTTCCTACATTCCATTGGTCAAATCTGGTCACAGAGCTCCTTCCTCACTGCAAGAAAAGCTGGGAAGTATAGAGGAAAAGGAAGAAACGAGTACTTCTCCAGAGTCTGTCACTGCTTAATTACACATGGCGACTAGTGCTAGCATGGAGAGGCAGGTAGAATTAGGATGCTGGGAAAGTCATGACATATGTTTTTTTTTCTATGAAAAAATGTGTCATGATGGGACCAGCAGGTGGTGTGGTGGTTAAGGTGCTGGACACTCCCACATGGCCAACTATGATTTGAGTCCTGGACCTGGTGGCTTACTTTCTCACTTTCCCTTTCTCTGTGTGTCTCTCTCTGGTCAGATTACAATAAATGTATGAGTAAATAAAATTAAATAGATAATTCTTTTAAAAAATGTGTCATGACTTTCCCAACAACTCAATACAATGGCAGCATGAAACAGGAACATGCACTGGTTTGATAGTCAATTCTCATTCCCCTCCTTTAGTTAAGTACGCCCCCATTTCTATAGGAGATGACTCTCATTCATTGTGCATAGTTTTTGTGGGGTTTTCACTCCAGGTTTCTCACTGCTTTACCCTACTCCATCAGATGTGAACACATGGTCTTAGCTAGGCCATCTGGTTTCTCCCTTTGGATGGCAGTCTTAACTAGAGTGACACAAAGACAAGAAAAGATGGCGTCCGATTCAGTCATGAAAGTACTATAGCAGACTATCAGTTCCTGTCACTTGGATCCCTAGATAACAGATTATTTATCAGCTTTCCCTTTGAATTTCTTCATGACCTCAATCTGTTCCAATTAATTCTCTTTCTTCCTAGGGTAACCAGTTGCTTTCTGTTTTTACAGCCAGAGAACCCCTCTGAATACAAAGGTATCATTTAAATTATGAGGCTTAGAGGTTGCCTCTGTGAGGAAGTGCTATTTTTGCTGATAAATGAAGTATACATTAAAGTTAGCCAGCCCAAGAATGGAGAAAGCAGAGGAAATTGCATGGGCAAAGGCCCTGAGGCAGGAAAAACTTGTGGAGGTTGAGAATCGTAAAGCGTGCTAGCTGGAGTTAGTGGAATGAAAGAGAGAGAATGACCTAAGTGGGGCTGGAGAAGAGGGAAAGTAACAGGCTTCCATACACTGTAAGAAATAGTAAGAATTTTAGATTTTATCTCAAGTATAATGGGAAGACAATGGAAGTTTTGAGAAGGAAAGAGATATGATCCAATTTGTACTTAAAAAAAAATTAGTCAGAGGGCACATGTGTTCTCCAGAGAGAGACAGAGAGACAGTGAAAGAGGGAAAGGAGGAAGTACCCCTCATGGGAAATGGTCATGCTACAATCCCTTTTCCTACATCTCTCCTTCCTTTTAAGCTTTTCGGCATGCATGAACATATGCTTGGTGTGTTTCTCAAGTCACTAGGTCAGCCATGTGAGATCCAGCTGTCTTAACCACCAGACCAGAGAGCTGGCCCTCCAATTTATATTTTTAAAAACTGCTTAAGCTAATCTGTGGGAAATAGATAGGAAGGGGTGAGAATAGAAACAGAAAGATAACTCAGGAGTCTTTGGAGCAGTTGGGAGGGAGGACAGTAGTTGTTTTGGGGATTGGCCAAGAAAATGAAGACAGGAAGACAGGCTCCAGATATATATTGGGATAAAACTGACATGCCTTTGTGACGAGTAATTTTGTAGAGACAGGGGAAAGGAACATTCAGGGTGACTTCAAGCTTCTAGTGGTTATATTTACAGAGATTTAAAAAAAAAAAAAAACTTACAGGAGAAATAGGTGGTGGTGAAAGAAAGAATCAATCTTTCCAGAGTATTCACTTTGAATCTCCTTGGAAATTTTCAGCAATGACGTTAAATATCAACATATCAATCTGGTGTTCAGAAATGGAGTCACACAAAGCCAGTCATGGTGGCACAATGGGAGTGCACTGCTTTATGATCCTGGAAGCCATATGGTAGACTCTTCAGTTGATATACATGTGTTAGGTACATGTCTATGATCCTGGCTGGCTGGGAAGGTGGAGGGAGAATCATGGTAGGAGATCCTGTTGAGGGTGCTTATCTCTGTCTCTCTCTACCCTCATCTCATTCTCTCTCTTTTTTTTTTTTTTTTTTTTTTTTTTTTTGGAAATAAGTAAATACAAGAGATTTAAAAAAAAAAAAAAACTTACAGGAGAAATAGGTGGTGGTGAAAGAAAGAATCAATCTTTCCAGAGTATTCACTTTGAATCTCCTTGGAAATTTTCAGCAATGACGTTAAATATCAACATATCAATCTGGTGTTCAGAAATGGAGTCACACAAAGCCAGTCATGGTGGCACAATGGGAGTGCACTGCTTTATGATCCTGGAAGCCATATGGTAGACTCTTCAGTTGATATACATGTGTTAGGTACATGTCTATGATCCTGGCTGGCTGGGAAGGTGGAGGGAGAATCATGGTAGGAGATCCTGTTGAGGGTGCTTATCTCTGTCTCTCTCTACCCTCATCTCATTCTCTCTCTTTTTTTTTTTTTTTCTCTTTTTGTCTTAGGAAATAAGTAAATACATAAGCTTAAAAAAAGAAGAAAGAAATATAGTCTCAGTTAGAGATATCAATTTACATACTTGGAGTGTATGGTGTTGGAAGCCATGGAAAAGAGGAGACAAAATAGCTCTCAAGTCCTTCCAGCTGTGAAGGACTCCTGAATATCTTAAGCCTGGTGAACAGACATCAGAATCCCATGATCTGCCCACAGGCCTCATCAGGTCTGGACTATGCTGCGTTCCTCCCTGTCCTACACAACTGTGATATGATTACAACGGCTCCCTCAGGTACCTACGTTCGGTTAAAGTCTTGCTCTCAACTGATTTTCTCTTGCTGTTCTATTCTCTGGCCTTAAAGTTTTCTGAATAAAGCAGCCCCTCTCCTGCCTCTCAAACCCGAAGCCGGTAGCGTCCCTGAGATGCAGCCCTGGCTCCCTCCCATGCCTGTGGCTCTTACTAGACCTAGTCCGTGGTTACTTCCACTTCCCTCGCTGACCCAGTCTGGCCTTGGAGAAGCTCCCTTGGTTTGGTTTCAACCTTCAAGAAGAAGCGCAAGTCCTCTGCATACCTTCATGGTGTCCTGGCCACTGGTCTGATTTCAGCTTTCTAAAGTCAGGGAACAAGGTACAGTGAGAACAGGGCAACATTGCTGGTCCTTGGGAAACCAGTCTGCTGACCTGAAACTGGAGAAGTTCCCCAGACAGCATGAGAGGGTGAGACGTCCCACTGACCTCTCACCTCCCTGTAGCCCTGGGTCATCTTCCTCTGTTTGCTTAGGACATGTATGTGAGAAAAATAGGACTTGCCTGGGCTGGGGAGTAGCTTATAAGAGAATTTGAACTTTATCGGTCCTGACACTTCTGCCTTGGTATGTGCGACTGTTGTTACACATATGGATTGGATCAAATGAGATAATTTATGCGAAAGCACTTTGAAATTTGTAGAGGGCTATCCAATGTATTGCTTGTTGTTATTACTACTATTACGCAGGAAAGGCTTTTTGCTTTTTAACATCACCCAAGTATTTGATTAAAATTAGGTGGCAAATGGGCAAATCTATAAAGCGCTTTCTTGTGTAGCGTGTCACCTACGCCTCTGGAGATCATATGGTCTACATTTTCTGGAATGGCCCAGATTCCTTGTAATTTTATTCTTTACAACAAAAGTTATTTGTTAAATGCTTAACTGGGTGTAATTTAATTAGTAAAACTTTTCTCAAAAATCAATTCATGATTTAGAATAGAAACCCTTGCCAGGCCACAGAGATGTTATTTTTGGAGAGGTGTACCCTCCATATTAATTATTTTCATTCTGTTGCAGGGGACCTACTCTGAGAACTCATAGAATCCCTTTTCTGCTGGGTGTCCCAGCAGAGAAGGGAAATGACAGAGCAACTGATTCGTCCCATTTTATGGATGAGTAGACTAAACTGGGAGCACCGAGGAGCACCAAGGCATCGTGTGGACAGGTCACAACTAATTTCACTTTTCACAAACTTTCTGAGGTTCCTTCATAAGCAATCGATTATGAGAAATGTGCCAAGATAATTCTTGGGGAAAAAAATAATCTTTTCAGTGAAGGGGCTGGAATAATGGATATTTTTATAAAGAAACAAAACAAAACTTCAGCTTTATTTCAAGCCAAACACAAATGCACACACACACACAAAATTCTAGAAATGGACCATAACTTAAACATTAAAAGTTTTACAAGAAAAAAAAATCAACAATTGAGTACACAGATTTCTTAGCACTGTTCATAAATTTTGAAAAGATTAGGGCTGGCAGGTGGTAGGTGGTTAAAGGAGCTGGACTCCCACATGGCCAAGAACGGTTCAAGTCCTAGACCTGGTTTCAAGTCCCAAACCTAGCAACTTGCTTTCTTACTTTCCCTCTCTCTCTGTCCCTCTCTGCTCAGATTAAAATAAATAAAGTTAAATAAAATAATTCTTTACAAAATTTTTAAAAGATTGATAATTCAAAATTTACCAAAGTTATTAACATCACCTTTTCAAAAGACACTTAAATTGGCTAATTATTGGCAATAAATAAATAAATAAATAAATGACCCTAGACCTAAACCTCACAACTTTTACAGAATTGAGCTCAAAATAGGTCACTGAGAGTCAGCCCATGGCCTGGTGGCTAAGATGATTGATCCCACATGGTCAACTACATGGTTTGAGTCCTAGACCAGCCAGCTTGAAAAACATGCCAGGCCCATGTGCATATTTGCCCAAAATCCTGAAAGGAGGGAGAGATGAGGAAGAAGAGATTGCAGTGTGACCATTCTCTATGGTGGGTGCTTTCTCACTTTCCATCTGTCTCTCTCTGGTGGGCACATATGCAAATGTGTGCATTGCACATATGCATATGGCAAATTAAAAAAAAAAAGAATCGCTGACTTAAGAGTAAAACATAAAATTATTAAACTTTTAGGAGAAAATCTTCAGGCTCTAAGGTTAGGTGAAAAGTTCTTAGATTTGAAACCAAAGCATAATCCATAAAAGAAAAATGAAAATTTCTATTTTACTGAAATGTACAATGTTGCTCTGCAAAGGACTTTGTTAAAAGGATAAAAAGGCCAAGTTAAAAGCTGGGAGAAAATATTTGCAAACTACATATCCAACAAAGGACTGCTATTGGGATGTTAGAAAAGTCCTGATGCATTTTTGCGTAGAAAAACAGACAAATGCGTCATGACTTTTCTGACAACCTAATATTTAGAATACATCAACAACTCTTAAAATTTAAAAGCAAAGATATGAAGACATTTTCCTGAACATGATATTTAGATAGCAAATAAGTACACAAAAAGAACCTCACCATAATTAGAAAAATACATTATTAGTACCACAATTAAAAAATGCATTATCACTACATACCTATCACACTGAGTAGAGTAGAAAATACTGACAAGACCAAATGCTGGCTGGGGGCCAGCAGATGGCATTGGTGGTTAAAGGCACTGGACTCCCACATGGCTGACTACAGTTCAAGTCCTGACCCTGGCAGCTCGTTTTCTCCCTTTTTATGGAACAGAGACATTGTATGTCTCCACGTAACATATACTGACTGTCTACACTGTATAGTAGAGACTGAAATACTGGAGGTCATAAAAGCACTGAAAATTGTTGTGGACACTGGGGACAAATTGGAAGGAGAGTGGGAGGGGGAAGAGTGCGGGAAGGGAAATTTGGGAAAAAATGGAGAAGTTAGACATTTGTGGGACACAGATATGGTTTGTTGCCTGCTGATGATGTCATGTATAATATTCTCAACTCGCCTGCTGTGTGGCATGTATCATATTGGGTAAAATCTCTTTACAAACTAAATGATGTATAACAATTGAATGTATAAGTAATAATAAATTAAAAGAAAAAAAAAGACCAAATGCTGGCAAGGATGTGGAGGAATGTATCACTCATACACTGCTAGTGGGAATATAAAATAGTACAAAAACATTGCAAAACAGCTTAGCAATTTCTTGTAATATGAAGCATACGATTGTCATATAATCCAACAGTTACACTCTTGGGCATTTATCCTAGAGAAATAAAAACATGTATTCACAAAAGCCTGTATGTGAATGTTCATAGCAGCCTTATTCATAATAGCTAGAAACTGGAAGCAGCCCATGGCTGTCAATGAGTGAATGATTAAACAAATTGATACATGGACTATCACTCAGCATTAAAAATTAACCATTGATATATGCAACAACTTGAATAAATTTCAAGGGAATTATGCTGAATGGAAAAAAGTTAAAAAGATGAAAAACTATATAATTCCATGTATATAACATTATTTTTTTTTTTTTAGAGAGAGACTTTTGCTATAAGTTGTATGAGCTTGCCAGAGAGACAGAAAGGGAATCACACCCCTTGGGGGAAATAGCCAGGCTGCCTTCCCTTCTCCTCCATTCTCCTGTTGGGATTTTGGGCACACAAGCACATGCCCCTGGCGTGAGTTTCAAGTTGCTGGGTCCAGGATTTGAACTGCATTGACTATGTGGAAGTCCAGCAATGTAACCATTATGCCATCTGCTGGTCCCTGTGTCTAACATTCTTAAAATGATAAACTTATAGAGCTAGAGAACAGATTAATGGTTGCTGGGACTTGGGGGACAGAATGTTGGAGAAGAGAGGTAAATAGAAGGTGTGGTTGTAAAAGAGCAGCTCAAGGGATCCTTGTGTTCTGTATCTTGCCTATGGTAGTGGTTACACCAACCTTTTCATATGAGAAAATTGCATAGAACTAAATATACATACAATGAAGTATATGTAATTCAGGGAAAGTTGAAAAAGATGAGTGGATTGTTATATGTCGATTTCCTCATTGTGATATTATATAGTTTTACAAGGTGTTAGCATTGGGGAAACTTGGCAAAGGGTGAAAGAAATTTCTTTATATTATTTCTTCTAACTGCGTGGAAATCTATAATTATCTCAAAATAAAAATTTAAGAATTGAAAATTTAAAATCTATTAAATATTGAGAAACATTTAATAGATTTTAATAAACTTAAACATATTTACTATATGATTCAGCCATTTTTTACCCAAGAGAAATAAAAATTTAAGTCTATAAAAAAGCATTTATATAAATGTCCATAGCAGCTTTATTCATAACAGACTTAACTTTGAAAAAAAAATAAATGAAAATAAAACAACACAAATTTCCATTAACAGGTGAATGGATAAGTAAATTCCAGGCATATGATGGAATACTACAATACTTCTCAATAAACATGATGAACTACTGATACAACATGGATTAATCTCAGAATCATTATGCCTAATGAAAAAAAAATATACCAAAGAGTACATACTAAATAATTTAATTTATATGACATTCTAGAAGGGGCAAGTTAATTATAGAGGTAGAAAACAGATCAACAGTTGCTTGCAAGTGAAGGCGGGGTATTGACTGCAAGGGGTATGTTCATAGGTGATAGAGCATCCTGCATCTTGATTTAGTGGTGTAGAGTCACCCAAATGCTGTACATCTTATATAGATGTTAAAGACAGGAAGGGCTCATTTTCCTAGTTAAAAAAAAGTGTTATAGACAAATACCTTGTGCTTTTGCCAATAGATACTCTTCTTTAATTTTTATTTTATTATAAAAGTTTCTGTTCTTGGGGACCAGCAGGTGGTGTGGTGCTGGACACTTCCACATGGCTGACCATGGTTTGAGTCCCAGACCTGGTAGCTTGCTTTCTCACTTTCCCTCTCTTTCTCTGTCTTTCTGTCTCTCTCTGGTCAAATTAAAATAAATGAATGAATAAATAAAATAATTTTTTAAAGTGTATTTTTGTTTTGTTTTGGTTTTGTTTTTGTTTTTGCTATAGAGTGTGTGTGTTCACCAGAGAGGGAGAGGGCAAGAAAGTGAAAAATCATCCCCCAGGGGATGTCCACATCGCAGTCCCTTCTCCTCCAGTCTCTTTTCTGGGTTTTGGGCACACACACACAAGCACATGCACCTGACTTGATTTTCAAGCTGCCAGAGAGACAGAAAGGGAATCACACCCCTTGGGGGAAATAGCCATGCTGCCTTCCCTTCTCCTCCATTCTCCTGTTGGGATTTTGGGCACACAAGCACATGCCCCTGGCGTGAGTTTCAAGTTGCTGGGTCCAGGATTTGAACTGCATTGACTATGTGGAAGTCCAGCAATGTAACCATTATGCCATCTGCTGGTCCCTGTGTCTAACATTCTTAAAATGATAAACTTATAGAGCTAGAGAACAGATTAATGGTTGCTGGGACTTGGGGGACAGAATGTTGGAGAAGAGAGGTAAATAGAAGGTGTGGTTGTAAAAGAGCAGCTCAAGGGATCCTTGTGTTCTGTATCTTGCCTATGGTAGTGGTTACACCAACCTTTTCATATGAGAAAATTGCATGGAACTAAATATACATACAATGAAGTATATGTAATTCAGGGAAAGTTGAAAAAGATGAGTGGATTGTTATATGTCGATTTCCTCATTGTGATATTATATAGTTTTACAAGGTGTTAGCATTGGGGAAACTTGGCAAAGGGTGAAAGAAATTTCTTTATATTATTTCTTCTAACTGCGTGGAAATCTATAATTATCTCAAAATAAAAATTTAAGAATTGAAAATTTAAAATCTATTAAATATTGAGAAACATTTAATAGATTTTAATAAACTTAAACATATTTACTATATGATTCAGCCATTTTTTACCCAAGAGAAATAAAAATTTAAGTCTATAAAAAAGCATTTATATAAATGTCCATAGCAGCTTTATTCATAACAGACTTAACTTTGAAAAAAAAATAAATGAAAATAAAACAACACAAATTTCCATTAACAGGTGAATGGATAAGTAAATTCCAGGCATATGATGGAATACTACAATACTTCTCAATAAACATGATGAACTACTGATACAACATGGATTAATCTCAGAATCATTATGCCTAATGAAAAAAAAATATACCAAAGAGTACATACTAAATAATTTAATTTATATGACATTCTAGAAGGGGCAAGTTAATTATAGAGGTAGAAAACAGATCAACAGTTGCTTGCAAGTGAAGGCGGGGTATTGACTGCAAGGGGTATGTTCATAGGTGATAGAACATCCTACATCTTGATTTAGTGGTGTAGAGTCACCAAAATCAATCTAACTGTATACCTTAAATGGATGTGTGCTATTACAGGTCATAACTAAGCAACTGGTTTTAAAAGTTAAAAACATAAAAGGTTTTAAAGAGCTCATAGATTTGGTAAAATATAGTCTCTAAACTTTATATAGAAAAATCTTGAGATGCTTTTTTAGACTGCAAAGTCAAAGGATAACGAAAGACAATGAGAAAAGGCCTGAGAGGTGTGAAGTATAGATGATTATGGAATCAAATCATTACTACCCTTAAGAACAGAACAGAAGAAAATGAAGCAACAACTTAAACTATAATCATAGTATAATAAATATGTATAGACAGATAGACCTACAGATTATATAATTAACAAAAAAAGATGACTCCTTAATTTTGGAGAAAAGCAAAGGGTGCACAGAGGCAAAGACGGGATATGAAAAAGACAGCGGAACCATGCAAAACAGAAAATGGTACAATATGAGATTATCATTTATAACATTAGGCTTTTATGGATTAATCTTCTTAGTAAAAAACATTTTGGACTTTCAAAGTAAGGGCAATTTATAGAGGTTTGATTTTACTAACATTTTGAACTGGAACAACCCAGGGAATATAGACCAAGGGAAAGCAGAAGAAAATCTGTCCCATTCCTAGATGTTAGAAAAAGAACCAATTCAAATTCCTCAAGCTTCGATGAATTTAGGCTGAATATAACCAGAATGGGACCACACTGAAGGAAGATAAGAGCATACCTACACTGCCCAAGAAAGCTTTCCAAGTAATAGAAGAGATGGTGGACTCTGAATTTTCTTCACTTCTTATGAGTAATGACCGGATGGGAATGTAAGGGCAGACTACAGAGTAGACGGATAATATTCCCAGGAACATCTCTTTAGATTTCCAGTAACATCTCTTTAGGCTGGCTCCAGGATGCAGTGGCAATGTGCTGCTCAAGGGAAGCCAAATCTCACATGGCAACCAAGGTCTAAATCCGTATCCTAGCTGACCTAGAAACATGCCAGGCACAAGCATGAGTCTCAGTATCCAATAGGCTGGAGGACTGGAGGAGGGAATCACAGAAGGACCAGACCCTGTGGAGGGTACTCTTTGCTCTCTCTCTCTTGCACACACATGCACTCTATCATGAATAAAGGGAAAAAACACTGTAAATAAGTCTCTTTAGTCACTGCTCATCAGTGATATTATTCAGTGACGATTATCCTACAAAATCTAGAAATAGCCAGGTAGGAGGCCAGCGCTGGCAGTAAAGTGAGTTTATTCTAATAACAGCAGGCTGGGCTGGCCCTGTAGAGCAGTGTTGAAGTGCTATGTCCAGGAAGCCAGATGCCACGTGGCTAATCTTGGTTTGAGTCCTGGCCCTGGCCCATGCTAGGTACATGTGTGTTCATGCCCCAAATCCTGACGGGATGAAGAAGTAGAGGAAAAATAAATGCAGGGCAATGGTGCATGCCCAAAATTCCTGAGAGGAGAATGGAGGAAAAGGATGGCAGCGTGACTGTCTCTTGTGGAGGGGCAAGGTGCTTTCTCACTTCCTTTCTGTTTGGCAAACACACACACCCTCTGACAAAATTAAAAACAGACAAAAACAAACAAGTGGGTTAGGTTCAAATCTGTAATCCGAGGAATAGTAAATAACGTTACATCATTTTATTTCCAGTAAGTCAAAGGTAAATACGCATACATTTTTTTTAAAAAAAAGTCACCACCATTCCATCCCCCGAAGAAAAGTAGCAAGAAAAAAGAAGAATAAAAGCAAACTTTGAATCATTAAAAGAGAATTAGTAATAAATACAAGAAGTGGTTCTTCTGAAAAAGAAAAATAACAAAAAGCGAATGACTAAAAATCTAACCAAAAAAATTATACTAAATTAAACCACAAGAAAAAAATAATAGATGGGGCGAGCAGGTGGCATGGATCCTACATAGCCCACGGAGAGGTTCAAGTCCCGGACTTGATGGCTTGAGAAACACACCAGGGACATGTGCATATGTGTCGGAGAGGAGAATGGAGGAGCAGGGATTGCAGCAGGGTCATCACTCCTGAAGGGTGATTTCTCATTTTCCCTCTCTCTCTCTCTTTCTTTCTCTGTATCTCTCTCTCCAGTGAGTGTATAACAAAACTATAATAAGTAAAAATAAAAAAAAATAGAAACTGCATGTATTTTTTTTTCCAGAGAGATCTCTACTATAAAGCAGATGGACTCACCAGAGAGACAAAGAGAGAGAGAGAGAAAGAAAATGAGAAATCACCCCCCAAGAAGGATGGCCACGCTGCAATTCTTTCTCCTCTGTCTCCTCTCTGGACTTTGGGCATGGACACACTAGCACCCAGCATGAGTATAAGCTGACAGGTCTGGGACTCGAACCACAGTTGACTACATGGGAGTCCAACAACTTACTCATTATGCCATCTGCTAGTCCCAAGAAACTGCATATAATTTTATACTAGTCAATTTGAAATTCTCAATGCAATAGTCATTTATGTAGGAAAGTTTAATGTAATAATATTGACAAAAGAAATATAAATTCTTAGTTCATCAATAATAAAGCAGAAAAGGCTGTCAGAATTACCTCCAAAAAGGCTTCAAGCCCAGACATTTTTATGAGCAAGTTTAAAATTTTTTTCAAGAAAAATAATTCTCTACTGTTCTATAAACTAGAAAAGAAAAACCCCACAAAATTATTCCAATTTAACTTACAATTTTAAGTCTCTCAAGAACACAAGCCAAAAATTTAAACCCATCTTTTGACTTGACCAGCAAATAAAATCTAGCAGCTTATTTAAATGAAAAAAATACAGCATACTCAGGATTTTTTGCCAAAATGATTCAATGATAGAAAGCCTATTGATATAATTTATATCAAATTAAACTATTTTGGCCTAAAATAACCATTGTACTCCCACACTTTGATTCCTATGGATAAACCAAAATCATACACGTTAGGCTGTTTTTCTGAGCTGGTTGCTAAGTTACAGCCAATCACAGCAGCTAGGCTTCCGTCAATCACAGGCATCCTGCTTTTTAACCGTGTTGATGCGGAAACTTCAGAATGTAACCAATCATTTCTCTACCTCACTCCCTCGCTTATGTTTGGTGTACGATACTTTCCTGTTCTGCCGACTTAAAAGGCCAAGTTAACCACGAGGCTGGCTGGAGTTGTCTGTAAGTTCAGAGCTAACTGCCCAATTTAAATCATCTTAAGATTTACTCTATTGGGGACCAGCAGTTAGTGTAATGGCTATGTCGCTGGACTCCCATGTAGGCGACCGTGGTTCACGTCCCGGACCCGGTGGCTTAAAACTCACGCCGGGCGCGTGTGCGTGCGTGCCCAAGAGGAGAACGGAGGAGAAGGGATTGCGGCATGGCCATCCCCCCTGGGGGGTGATTTCTCGCTTTCTGTCTTTTTCTGTCTGTCTGGCGAGTGCACGCGCCCTATAGCAAAAACCTCTCAAAAAAAAAAAAAGAAAGGTAAAAAGTTAAAAAAAAAAAGATTTACTCTATTAAAACTCTTAGATTGGCTGATTATTTTTTCACATTCACCATCTATATAAATTAGAGGAGAATGAATCACATAATTATCATTTAGATGCCAAACTTGATCATTTTCCATATCCTTCCTGATTTGTAATAATTTTTAAAGAATTATTTTATTTTATTATATTTTTCAAAATTTGCTATAGGACATGTGTGCTCACCAGAGAGAGAGAGAGAGAGAGAGAGAATGAGAAAGCAGGATGCCAGGTCTGGGACTCATACCATAGTCGACCACATGGGAGTCCAGCACCTTAACCACCATACTACCTGCCGGCCCCTGTAATAATTTTGTAAAACAAGACACCTCTTAGCAACAAATAATAGAAGACTTCCTTAACCAGATAAAGAATATTCAGGTCACATAGTGGCTAATATCATAATTAACAGGGAAAAACAGATATTAAAGTTAGACCTAGCCATGAGAATTTGCCATCATCACTGCTTTTTAATAGTTTCCTGGCTCTCTCAGTTAATCAACAAAAAGTAATATGAAATATAAATATTGAAAAAGAGAGAATTTGTTATATGCCTCAGGGGTGATGAGGATAACATTCTTGACGAGTGTGGGTTGTCAGAAACGAAATTCTCCTTGTTTTCTGCATTTTGCCTGTCTCATTTCTCCTCTGAGACAATGACCACAGACTTCCATGGACTTTGAATAAGGACAAGAAGAGAGAAAGGAAAAAGTGAATTGCTCAAAAATATCATTTTATGTATCTTATGTATATATCATTTTTATAAAATATACCAAATATTATATATAATGCACACACATACATGTCTTAATATATACAGAAAAGAAACCCAGAGAATATATATTAAAATGGTAATAGTCTTTATTTCTCAATGGAAAAACTAAAATCAATTTTATTTTTTAGGACTTCTATTTCCAAATTTTATACAGTGAATGTATACTACTTGTCTTGTAGAAAAATACACCCTATTTTTCTTTGAAAAATGTTGAAAGTATATTTACTTATTTCTTCTATTAGAAAGAGAGAGACAAGCACCTCTGATAAGATCTTCATGCCTCAATCCACGCCCAGTCTCAGCTGGCCTGGATCATGGACACATCCCCACGTGCCCGGCTTGCTCAGGAAGGCCTCAGAATGCAAACCGAGGACCTTTCCCATATGGATCCAGTTGTGTGACTACCGTGCCATCACCTGGCCTCCATGTAACTTCTCGGAAGTCAAAGGCAAATACATGGAAGATAGGCATTCAAATGATAGTGGAGATGGCTGGTGGGGAGTTGAGAAAAAGAATCCAAGGGGATGTTCATGCAGCTGTATTACAAGAGCGATGGCTGTGGAAACAGAAGATCTAAATCTCACCTCTGCTTGTGTCACTTACGGATATGTTAACTCCAGGCAAGTCCCTTAACGCTCTCCATATCCTTTTGGAAAGGCTCTATTTTTCATTCTTCATGTTCCTACATGAAAGCCTTCCCTGAAGAAATAAACACCTAAAAACCTTTATAAAGAATTATTTTCTTTTATTTACCACTATTGTTATTTTTCAATTTGCTACAAGGCATATGTGCTCACAAGAGAGAGAGCGAGAGAGAGAGGAAAAGTGAGAAAGCAAGCTTCCAGGTCCAGGACTTGAACTGCAGTCTGCCGTATGAGAGTCCAGCACCTTAACCACCACCATGCTTCCTGCTGGCCTGAGAAATAGACTTTCACCTTGTGTCACACTGTGGCTTATGGCTTAATCATGCACTGCAAGTTGCCTAGGACAGCTAATGTTTTTGACCCATAGTATGTATTAATCTCTTCCCGTTTTATTCTCAAAACTCTCTGAATTTAAATGATAAATTAACATGGGCTCCTCATTCTTGGAAGCTTTGTTATTCTTGTGCTGATTTAAACAAAAGTGGACTTTAGCAAACCTTGGCTGTCAGACTTGAGTAAGCAGGCTGCTGGGATCCTAGTTAAGCCCACTCTCAGGGTGGCTGCCACAGCCTCACCTGGAACGACCCAGGCTCAGCGTGGCATTGTGATTCTTTAGGCACTGGTGGGCAGAACTGCAAGCTGCACTTGCAGCCTTCACTGTGGATCTTGGCAAAGACTGCAGGCCAAGAGTTTAAATAGCGTCGTCAATGCATGATGTGCAAAGCACAGAGGAGCCTTGTGCCAGCCGTCGGTCAGTAGGGCTGGATCAGATGTTCCACTTCATGTTGCTTCTGATCTCACCTGGAGCTGAGAGAGAACTGTGGAGAGATGGAAAATTTGGATGGTTTCTCATGGACTGTTCGCACGTTTAAGTGTTCACCTCAGTTTGCCCCTCGATTTGTTAAATACATAAGCACTAACTAAGATTTTAGATTTCAGAACCCAATTGTGGCTTAACCCACAGATTTTTCTTCTTCCTCCAAGTATTGCTGGGCCTCTGGCACTACTTAATACTGGGTTCTGAGGAAACAATTTTGCTTGGATAACTCCTCTGGTAGCTAGGGACTTCTTGTGGTTCTAACTGTTGTAGAATATGAGGCTGATACTATAATCATCTTACATGTTCTGTTAACTCTTTGAACTCTGAAAAACAGGGCTCGTGAGAGGCCATGAAGGAGTCACATTCATTCCCATGGAAGACAGCCCAGGCTGCAGCTGCTAAGAGCACCGGATCAAGAGCTGCTGGTTGAGACTGAGCAGAACTGGATGCTGGGAAATGGAAGTTTGGACATTCATTTCTTTACCTATCAAGTCACTGGAAAAATTAAAATGTGAATCTGATTTTAATTTCTTTGGACTTTTAATCCAAATATTAAGGAAATTTACCTTTGAACTTTAATTCTTTGGGACTTCAACTTCTTTGGACTTTCCCTTAGAAGAGGATTTAATTTTTGGACTTCAATGTCGAACTTGGAATTTCCAGATGGAAGGGAGTTTATGTTCAAATTTGGTCCACTCTGTTGCTGGAATTATATTACTGAGTATCTACATTGTTATTTAAGCACATGGCAGAACCTCTGTAAAACATTTTATTAGATAACATGGCAGAACATTTTAAGGGAAAGAAAAACAGACTAGAAGTGCACTTGTTTTAGTTAAGGTAATGTCTTCTCTAGACTATGCAGAATCTTCTGAGTGCAAGTTCTAAACTGTCCACCTTCAAGCCCAGGATTTTCCAAAGGAATTTTGGCCAGTATCAAGGGCCTGGCCTCATAAGGGTGGAAGTATCACTGTCATGAGAGAAAATTCCACAGGAAAAATGGCCACAACCTTGGGTGACCATGTTCTTAATGGTTAAATCCAGTGGGTTAGGAGACCAAAGACCCCAGTAGGCTGTCTTTAGATTTTATTTTTACTTTTGTTTTTGTTAGTTTTTAGGTTTTTGTCATACAGCAGTTGCGCTCGCCAGAGAGTAGAGAGACAGAGATATTGAGAGAGAGAAAGTGAGAAATCACCTCTCAGGGTGGATGGCCACACTGCAATTTCTTCTTCTGCCTCCCCTTGGGATTTTGGTCATGTACACACACACGGCCAGCATGATTTTCAGCCACTGGGTCCAGGACTTGGACTGTGGTCAGCCATGTGGGAGTCCAGCACCTTAACCACCACGCCATCTGCTCTTCCCCCCACCCCCAGTGGGTTGTTTTAAAATAAATCAATTCTCCTCTCCACATGTGTCCTTGGGTAACACAACTAGTTTTTTTGGCCCCCAACTCTCTTAACACCATCAGAAGGGTGGATGCATCTCTTTTGGGTGGAGCTCATCTACGGGAAGGCCATAAAAATAAGGGATTTGTTCTTTTCTCGCTTCTCCTGGATTCCTAGTAAGTACATCTGCTGTGGCTCCAAATCTGTACTCAGCTGGGCTGCCCCAGGGTCTACAGTAGCATATTCTGTGTATGCCTGTGGGGAGTGGGTTCGAACACGATATTATTGCATACCTCAGCCATGCTCCCCAATACATTTCATCATGAATAAAACTGACATTTTCCTCATCACTTGCCTGGTTCCTGTTCTATTCTCCAGTAGATCCTAAACTTGTGCGAAAACAAGGGGGTTATTTATTTACTCAGTAGTGCTCCCAATAACCCTCACTTTAATGACTGGATAATAAGCCACCTTCCCTACCATGCAAAGTTATAGTTGAAAGCGAAATAGATAAGAGAGGTGGAAATATTTTGGAAATTGCTAATCATTTTGTAGTTTGGTCAATTATCATTGTCACTTGTATCCTGAGACAACCATCCCCTACTTTGCAAATCAGAATTTAAAAGGGCACAGCTCACGGTAGTGTATTAGTGTGAATTGCTACCACTCGTTGACTTCCTGTTCTGTTCTGGGAGGTCCAGATAATTTCTCACTCTGATCATTTCTTGCTTTATGGACATCACAAATTCCCTCAGAATGTTCAGAAGAATATAAAGTTCCCGGGACAATATCCCAGTGGGTGCCCACAGAAGACCCTGAATGTCATTGTTACATAAGCATTTTCCATGAATCCAGAAATGGAATCACCTTTGTTATTGGCATTGCCTTATGCAAGATTTGCGGGCAGAGGGCTGCTCTCCTCTGCATTCTTTTTCAAGGCTAGCCTAGGCATAGGGCTACCCACTTCCTCTCTTCTAAGTTGATATCTTTGTGTATCAACTTCCCATTAGCTATTCTGTCGACACCCTCGTGTAGCCCCAGCTGCCCGGTGAACCCTATCCCCCAAGCAGAGATAATGAGACAGTGCTACTTATATAACCTGGTCTGATTAGAGTCTTGGATCTTTGCACCTCAACAGCTGTGTGTTGTCACCAATGGAAATTTTTAACTCGTCTGCCAATTCCCTGGTTGCCCAAATAAGTGGCTGAAAGAGTGGCTGCTGTTTCATCGTTTATTAGAACGGAATTTAGGTTCTGATAAGCCCTAATGCTGAAAATTAGCTCCGAGGAAACTGCTGCTGCAGTTCTTGGTCTCTGGCTGATAGGAACAAGTAGAATGTATTCAGGTGGGTTTTTTGATCCTATAGCCAGTTCAGCACACAAATTACTTCAGAGCTATTTTTAAAAAATGTAATAGGACCAATACTTAGGAGAGCCAGAGGCAGTGTGAGGAGGATCAGAAAGCATCTATTACGGGCTCGACATTCGCTCTCCCACAAAGCCTCAAATGATATTGAAAAAGTTCTTGCTGGTCTTCCCAGTGGCTTAGCCACGTTGCTGGAATCCTCTGGGTGCTTGCAAGAGTTGCCATGGATGGAGAAGTCATTTCAGCCTGTGAATTCATGTTGGAATTCACCTCTTGATATTGATAAAGTCATGGATGTTGTTGGCTTTTCAGAGTGTGGGTTGCATTGAGAGAGCACCCCAGGACTATAGGTGGGTGATCTGTTCATTTAAAACTCTGGCACCTGAACCTTCTTTTAGAGGTCTCCAAAGAATGGGGGTACATTCAAGTGTTTCACACTCACTTCAGACCAAAAAGAAAACCAAAAAAGAAAGAAAGAAAGAAAGAAAATTATTCTTCAAATACATTCTAGAACTTTCTTTCTTGTTCTGATATCATGGAACCTAAACCCCCTTTTCATAACCACTCCCCTCTGATTCCTTTATGCACAATTCTTGGCAGCTGTAATTCATCCCACTCTCTTGGCCTTTTTTTCAGACTAAAATGATCAAAGACCAACTGGGTTACATTATGTTCCCAGCTGAGAAGCTGAGAGACCGAGAGAGAAGGAGGCCTCTGAGTGAAGGTGTAAGATACAGTTCCTGCCTCCTTGGAACTTACCATTTAATGAACAAATACTTTCATTTTTTTTTTTCCTTCATCAGGAAAAGTTTCCTTTTTTCTCTCCCAAGCTGTTGTTCATTTTGGACATTTCCTTCCCCAGCCTTTCCAAGTTCTCTCAATTCTGTCTTCATTTCCAAGGCCCAGCTTAAATCTAGTCCAGGAAAACAAAAATCTTATTTTAAAAGATTTTTAAATAATAAGAAAAACCTCTTGCTTATATTACAATTCAAGTGGAAAATCAGGGGAATTAGAAGCAGGGTAAGATTCTGGCTCTGTCATCCCCAGGGTCTTAGACTTTTGGCGACATCCCTAACCCGTCTCACCCTCAGCGAAGTTAGTTGTTAAATGAATACAGGGACAGTTGATCACAGGCTTGGTAGAAGCTTGAGAGACGGAGTATGGAAAGCTCCCTGTGCTGATTTCTTTAAGTCAAACCATTTAAATACCCAAACCCTATCATCTTTTTATGAATGAAATAAATAAGCCCAGGATTCTCAAAAACGGCAGCAGCACATAGCTCCTCCTCTGTGGTACCTTTCCTAGATAGGGCCAACCTGCCCTACCAGTTCCCATGACTTTCCTACCCCATGGGCCACCTCACGGCTATGTGTTTAGAAACCTACCTCCTCCATGTGC